GCTCCGTTGCGTAAAAATAAAAATTTAAATGTGAGATAATTAAATCTATAAAAAATAGGTGCTATGCATGTAAATTCCTCGGCCCGCGATGAACTAGGTCTTGGATCCGATCATCTCCTCGAGCAGAACAACGATAGCCATGGCGACCGCAGAATCAAAGCTCGGCTGAACCACAAGACGGAAAACATCGAGTCCAAAAGCCGCATCACCCACCGCCTCTTTCAGCTGCATCTCCGCCATTGCCCGCCCCTTCTCGTCGACCACCGCGCACCGCCGCTGCCTGTACGATCCCTCCACTTCGTATCCCTCCCCACCGCCGATTGCCATCTCGCAGCAGCGAGGAGATAGCCGAGCCAGCGCCTTCGATTGGAAGAAGCCCCCGTGCTTTCGCGCGGAAAACCTAGGGTTCGCCGCACTCTCGCCTTCGTAAATCCCCCATTGCTCCCCCCAAATCAGTTTCGTCTGCAAATCCAAAACGATTTAGCTCAGGTCCATACATAGCAAATTCCCGCTAGCATTTAGTAAAACGATTTCTGTGTACCTTGCGGCGAATAGTGAGACAGGGCTTGCCGGCGGCGTCCATGAGAACGATCTCGGCCTGGTTTCCGGACTTGGAGTAGTTATCGACGCGATAGACGAGATTTCCATTTGAATCAAAAACGGTGAAGCCGTTGCAGTTGAATAGGAGGGATTTTCGCCAAACGGTGAGGGTCGTCGGCGCCGCCGGTGGAAGAGGTGGCTGAGGGTCGAGGTGGTGGTGGTGGTGGCCGGCGCAAGGGATGAGAGAGGGGTTTGAAGTTTCGAGAGAGGGGAAGCTGGGGTAGATCTTCTTCTTCATACCCCGATGGAGGTGTTTGCCCGGTTGCCGGAAACCGGCCGTGAGGGGGAGGGACGATGAGGCTATGCTGGGCGACGAAGAGAGAAGTAGTGTGAGTTCTTATTTATACCCTCGAGACACAGCAAACCTCTAGCCATTCTTAGCTTGGGCTAGTCAAGTTCAGAGTTTCAGTTCAACGAATCAACTCAACAACAAGACTTGTTTATTACAAAATAATAATAATGTTAATCTAAATTAATTTTATAATAAAATGATAATTAAAATGAATGTTTAGGCTTAAATATAAAGAAATTATTTGATATAAAATATTATTTTGTAAATATTTTTGATGTTTGCCAGAAAATTCGCGGCGGTAAATTAATGAATTATCGTCTTAGCATTGCACGAAAATTCGACACACACAGATAAGAGAATATAAGTAACCAGGAGGAGACACCTCGAATTTTTACTTGGAAAACCTTTGAAATGGGGAAAAATCATGTGGCGTTATTTATCCACTATGAATGATGAGTACACATATTCATTCTTCTCCTAAATTAGGGAATATTGAATTATAAAATTATATAATTATAATCTGGCTGCAATTATTGGTCACAGCAGATTACAATAGTCATTATTGATTGTTATAGAAGTAGTAGTCCGTCGTGAGTGTTGTAGATGATTGCCCCATAAGCGTTGATTGACCAAAGAAACTGTAATAAACATTTACGAGAGTTGTTGACCACAGGCCGTAGAGGCGAGTATGAATGACGTCCGTAGGTCGCCCGGGCTAGAGTAGGGAGCTGCACGAGCTGTGAACCACGTATGTCATAGGGACACATATGAATGATATCCGTAGGCTGTGAGGGCTGGAGTCGGGAGCTGCATGAGCTAATGTCACATAGGTCATGTGGGCGAGTATGAATGAGATCCATAGGCCGCGGGGGTCGGAGTCAGGCGCTGTAAGAGCTGTGAACCACGTATGTCATTGTTGACACAAGGACTGTAATGATGAGCTCATGTCCCATGATGATTAATGACGACGTCTGGTTGGTGGTGATCGACGGTGACGGTCGACAGTGGCTGACGTCGATCGACGGGTGTCGACGACGACAGACGGTGGTCGATGGCGATCGACGGTGGTCGACGATGGTCGGGATAGTGTTATACTTCAGCTCCTTCTCATAGAATTCAGTTCTCACTGAAGCTTCAAGCCTCTTTTTTCACAAGAGGGGTGCGGCTCTATTTATAGTGTTCTAGGTGACATGAATGCATGAATATTAATCATTTTGATCAGACCGTCCGGAGAGCTTCATCTGATCAAACAATATTTAATGGACATTTGAGTACCTTGACGATATTGGAATTGCACAATCTTGAGCTCGTTGGATTCGTCTTGTTGAGACGCTCGATTCGATTATAAACTTTTCAAATTAGACAAACGTTTGACCTTTCAAATGTGTCCGGGAATCTTCCAAGAATGATTTAATGACTTGATCTGGGCTTGATTTGACTCGGATTGAATGACTTTGATATCTTTAGGTCCGTCTCATCAAGCCAGTTTGTTTGACTATAAGTTTGCTAAAATTGGAGCTCTATATGAGTTTTTATCAAGGTTTGAACATCGCTTGCTCAAAATATTATCTCGAGATTTGTGTCATGCTTCGAGATTTGTGCTGGATAATGAAAATTTATTGTTGGATTTTAAATAATTTAATGATAAAATTTGGGATTTAATATATTTTGATTATATTTGATATTATTATTTTGTAGCAAGCTAGCTCATAAGATAATGAGTCTGAGTTGGGTTTAGATTTGGCTTAGCTTGTTAACTCATTGAGCTTAGCTCACGAGTCACTGATCGAGTTCATTCTGAGCCAGCTCTTGGGCTAGTTCGACTCACATCCCCTACTTAGGTGAACATGATTGCGCACAATTTTACTCATGAACTCAAAATGATTTAATAAAAATTTTGATCCTAATTCGAGATGGATGGCGGTCAAGCCCAATCAACCTTGATTTAAGCCTAGGTGGCTCCTTCGCACCCCTAGATGAATGATTTATAATTTTTATTCATGGAAAATTAACAATGAAATTTTAAATAAAATATTGAATTAATTCACTTGTATGTGACAAAATCATATTATTAAAGCTTATCTAATCCTAATGAATATAAGTTGACAATATTGCTAGATTCTCAAGATCAGTGTGATGGTATGGATAATACAAATATTAAAATGTTACTTTTATAAATTTATTAAAGTTTGTATTACAAAAATAAATGTTCTTGAACTTTATTTGATTATGTCTCAGCCTAAATTAAAATATATTTTCTTAAAGAGTGAACAGATTATGATGGCAGAAGAATACAACCATGAACAAGCACATAAAGACACCTAAAATTTATGAGGTGTTAGATTAGATATGTAATAAATAGAAATTGTGCGGTATATATGTAAAATTCACAAATTAATATATTAAACAAAATGCCCCTCCATTGATTATTATAATGCTAAGCATTCATAGAGTGCCAAATAAATATCTTATAGATATTATTGAAGATAATGTTAAAAATAGATTTGAGGAGTTTGAAAGTAATATTAGGTATTTTATTTGATTAAATTAGTACTACTTTTTAGTTGTATGCTATAAATTAATAATCCCTTTTCAGGAGAATTTTGAGTTTTATTTTAAATGCAAGCGGAAGCAAAAAAAGCTTTGACTAATAAGCTGGTCAGATTTGGAATCTATTTAACCTTTCAGTTATGCATTCAAAGTTTCTAAAAGTGATTTGATCCGGGCTTGACTCGACTCGCATGGAACCAATTTTGATATCATTGGGTTCACCTTGTCAAGCCGGTCAATTTTACTATAAGGTTGTTGTAATTGGAGTTCTTGATGAATTTTAATAGAACTTCTCCTGTTGGATGAAGAATTTTTTTTCATGGCGTATCCGCCCTCAGCCGTTGTTGAGTACAACGCACACTATGGAATCCCATCGTATGTTGTGAAACAGTGAAACATCCGACAAATCAATACCCATTTCATTACACCGTGCATCAGTAAGACTATAATTCATTACTCTACTATCACGGATCTTTTTAAGTTATCTAATTATCTTATCTTTTAATAATTTCAATGAATTTTTTTTTGTTTAGATAAGTATGAGAAATATTATTTTAAAATTTTGAAAAATCTTATTTTGATTCATACCCCGTATATGGCCCTTCATCAAATTGTTTATGCATTAAGTTATTGTAGTTATTGTAGAAAGCCGGCTCTATGATTAACCCCATTAATATCTCCTAAGATGAGCAGTTGGGCGTAGCAATTGGAACAGTAGAGGACAAACTACTTGGCCCCAACCATCAGCCTGTTTCCATCTTTCTCATAAACTATTCTCAAATGCTTATTTAATTATGGAAGTCATCAAATAATTCCATATAATTAAGTATAAATTTTGATATAGATATCTCAATATCTGATTTCTTTTGGGTTTAAATCTTAAGAATTGAAGCCTACGTTCAACGAATTTATGCTCAAAATAATGTGTTTCGATGAGACAAATTAAATGATAGAACGAACAACCAATATTGTTATTCGTCATAAGTTCACCATGGTATATTATCGTTTGACACCAATCGATAATTAAGGTCCATCGTTCATCAAATTTGGCATTTTTCTTTATGAAAAAATGTTGCGTCCGTACATCCAGACGACCAACTAACGAGCGTCATGTCGCGCGTCGATGAAGTGTATGATGACGTAGCGCCCGGCGGTTAGACGTGTGGTGTCATACCTCTTGTTAGAAGCATGACTAAGCCTTTTCTTATTCTTCAACTTACTAATGATGTTTCATATTGATCCACTTATCATATATTGCATTAAAATAGTTTTCTCTAATTATAAGGATGAATATCCTTTGTAGTCAATGCTAGAACTCATAGATTTTCTCTCTTCTCCTACTTGTCAGAATAACTTGGGGAATGTAAAGGAGTTCAAAATAATATTTCTGTTTAATTAAGGCTTTGTTTGAGAAGACATTGAAGCTCCGTTGCATTGCATGAGGAGCAATGCTCACAAATGTTTTTGTTTGGTGAAGCAGCATCTCCTGATTGTCTCTCGAAGTTGTTTTGCCAGAATGATAATTTTTCACATTTTTAGATCGTAGAGGATTCGGCCATTGAATTGAAGCTTAATATGACCAATGGTATCAATTTCGGTGTTCTAAGGCAGTAACAAAGATAAAATATTAAATTTTTCAGCTATTAATTTTGATGTGTGATCAACAATTTTTTTATCAAATGTGTCTTGATGCATTTTTTTAATGAAAGATTTTCAAAATTCAAATTTAAGATTATTCGTGCTTCAATTTCAGTAAATTTATAGTCAAATTGACAGTTTCGAATAAACGAACACAGTGAAACCAAAATTAGTTTAATCCGAGTCCAACAAGCTCAGATTAAGCCATTAAAATGCACTTGAAAGTTTTGGATTGTCAATTGAATGAGCAAATGAACTCCAAATTTCACATATTGATAGTTAAACTGGGCATATCGATAAGAGGAAACTAACGAGCATAAAATCACTCAATTTGGAGGTCATTAAAGCCCTCAGGTCATCAAAAAAAAAAAAACTTTTATTAGAGGGATCAATATGAGTATTCTCTTCAGGTGATTTGAAAAGTTATTTGCCAAAAATCTAAAATGCCCCAACTTCAGAGTCAATAAATAGAGCCCTCTCTTCAATTGAGGGGAAGAGGAGGAAAAAGAGAAATTTCATTGCCTCTTATGGTTGAAGACTCGACGATAAATTTCAGCTTCTGTAGCCGCTAACCACCATTGAGCATTACACGTCAGCCAAACCTCCTTCAACCATCGACGCTTGTTTGCAAACATCATATCTAACATATAGATGTAACATATAATACCCATAATGAAGAACCGATGATAATTTTCAGTCTTCCTAGCCTCCGACCGCAATCGACCGCTGTCGGTAGTCTTCACAAGCTGTTGTCGACCGCTGACGACCATAACTTATAACCGTCAAAACCAGAATACGGTCGTTGTTCCTAACACATTTTTTTTCTTTACGATATATAAAAACAAAAACA